AAAGTAAAATAAAGATATTTTGTTAAGACTTCTAAAGAAACATGTGATAAGAAATAATTATTTATTGAGTGTAGAACAAGAATTTCCAAACAGCTTAATATTTCTTTGGTTATACTTCTGCTTTAATAGAGCAACATTTGAAAATGGACAGACATCCCGGAAAGTAAGAGGAAAAAGCAGTAAAGTATGAGGTATTAAGACCAACCTGTCCTTTAGTTAAGGTCTTAAGTTTCTAGTTGTAACAGCAATCACATTTCTAGGTAAACAATATCAACTAGCTCCCCACACATACAAAGGTCACAGTACAGTAAGAGCCCTTCGCACTGTAAACCATGTCAAACATCCAATTTGTAATGCAGCTAGAGAATATATTGGTGAAATAAATCAGATCCACATGTGCAAACACTATTATCTCGCTCATGTGAGAACCTGAAAGAGTAATTAAAATAAAAAAGGCACAACAGATACTGTGAGAGGGAAAGAATTTGTTCAATGGGAAGGAAAAATTGGGATCAAGAAAAGGACAAATGGGGTCGGGGAGATGGCTCAGTGGAATAAGTGCTTCCCTAGCAAGCGCAAAGGTCTGAGTTCCATCCCCGGTTCTGCAAAAAAAAAAAAAAAAAAAAAAAAAGGAAAAATGAAAGAAGGGGAAAAGATATATTTAGGTATCTATGCAGAATAGTTTGGATAATTGTATTGTTGATTTCTGCTGGTCTTTTGAAAGTTACAGTGAATGCTTAAAATTTTTCTTTTTACTCTTATTTTTTTTTCTCTTTTGAATTTCTAGTAACTTCTTTGCTATTTTTTTCTTTAAATGAATCTTGCATGTTTATGTCTGGTAATCCGGACAACTAATTTGAAGATAGCATTGTATGTATAATACAGCAACCACTATTGAATTCCTATTACTTTGCTTAGTGAAATTCTGTATCATTTCCAATGCTTTTTTGTCTATCACTGCTTTGTATTCTTTTTTAAAAAATCCATTTTGTAAATTTACTGTATTTGAACTTTTTATTATTAGTAAAGGAGTATAACTATAATTCCCAATCAGAATCAAGTTCCTAAAGACATGGGTGCGAAACACTGCCAATCAACTTGCTTCTCAAACTGAAACTTAAAAAAAAAACTCTTCTTCAATTCAGCTTTATAGACATGGGAGGCTAGTTATTCTCAATGATGTTAGTCCAATATTATACCAAAATATGCGGGGAGTGGCAGCACATGCCTGTAATCCCAGCACTTGGAAGGCTGAGGCAAGAGGACTGCTGTGAGTTTGAGGTCAACCTGGACTACACAGCAAGAGCCTTACTCAGAAAAAAAAGCAGGTATTTTCTAGAACACTAGGATAGATAATAGCATTAAAATGTAATCTTTAAGAATTCAAGAAGAAGAAAGAGGAGATAAAAATTAAAGGTTTTTTTAGAAGTTTTAAATTTTCTATAAAACTCTTTTACCCAAGACTAATCCTAACTAAAGTTAGGGTTTAACCATGGTATACAAAATATACTGCGTACACTGCCTGGTGTCAAGGTGGGGAAACCCTAACTTTTATATAATAAAACCCTCTTCTGTATCATCTTGCCCCAAGGCCTGGTTGTCGGGGAGCAGATTCTTCATGGGACGCTTGAAGTTGTAATAGAAAACATCCTTTTCATCTATTGGCTGGTAGTCCCATTCTGTTTCAGTGGGGTCCTTTCCAGAGCCACTCCCAGAGTCGGACCCTGAGCCGGAGCCAGAGCCAGAACCGGAGCCAGGATAGTCCTCGGAGAGAGGGACGACATCATTCAAGTTGTGGTATTTTGGAATCCTGAAGTAGGAAAAATAAGTATACAGTTTGATTCATAAGAACATAATTATGATATTTTTAGAACAAAGAAATAAATGCAGCCACCTCGTAGCTCAAATGGAAAGAGCTAAAAGCTTTCTCAGTATTCAATGCTTTAAAACAAAGAAAAATTCAAACCTTGTGAATGTTCACATATACTCACTGCACCAAACAAGTGCAGGTTGCCCACTGAAGACACAAATAAAGTGCTAGCTTTTCTTTTTACTAAAAAAATTAATAATAATCAATAAATCCAATAGCTGGTATTTACTTTTTTAAGAAAAGGCCCCTTTTTTTCTTTTTTTATGTATTTAGTACAGGATGTACAGGGTCTCACTACACCGATCAGACTAGTAATGATCTTCCTGTTTTAGGCCTCCCAAGTTCTGGGGTTGGGAGTGTGCCACCATGCCCAAGATCCCTGTTTTTCATTGTCTCCCTACAGAAAGGACAAGTCAGCCTAGACAGAGGACACTTTTTAAAAGGAATTTTTTTTTTTTTTTTTTTTTTTT